TATACATACAAGCAATTTTATCATTTCACAAAAATCATACAAACTGAATCTCAAATTATTAGTTATAATATTATATAAAAATTAAATACCTATATAATACATGCATATGAGGTTATTAGAGGTAAGATAAGACTAATATATAATATCAAATATTAAAATATGCATTTGATTTTGTTTAAATATAGGTATTAATGTATTAAAATATGCAATACATTTATTGAATTTATTAATACTTTACAAACTATCATTAATTTAAGCAATCTTATAAATTATATTATTAAAGAAAATTAAGTACAGGTATTTTTTAGTTTTTATGTAAGCTTAAATAGTTTTTGTTACCTAATCTTACTTTAAAATAAATCCATAACATTTTCTCATAATTTTAAAAATAAAGTTACCTACTGATTTTATAAAATTAAAATTAAGAACATTATTATATCTTTATGACATGATATTTAGATTATACCTACCTACTATATATAAGAAATGTAAATATTGAAAGAAATGTAATTGGGTAAAAATTACAACTATCTACGGCTATTAATTTTTTTTTTTTTTTTTTGGTGTACAATAAAGAAAAAAATCAATGTTGCCAAAAACTGACTTTGCCTTATTTGCCTAAAAATGTCTGTTTTTGATTAATTTTTTATTTGTTTATTTTCAATTATTTTTAAAAGTTTGATCTCTTTAAAAACAAAACTAGATTCAATTTGCTATCAAAAACATCTTTAAAGTTGAAAATCAAAGATTTTTTAATTACTTTTCATGTATACAAACATAAAAAAAATACATCATTATAAAATAAATGCATTCATTAGCTATTTCACCAGATTATAAAATAAACAATGTTTATCGGTGCAAGATGAATTTTGAACATTATTACTTAGCCAAATTTATAAAAGAATGCTTCAAAAACATACCAATACATATTATAATAAATCTTATTTAAATATACAATGATCCAATCTGTTTCGTAAAATTCCAAAATGTATAAAAATTTTATCAATTTCTTGAAGTTGAAGTTAATCATTAAACATTAATATTAACATTCACACATTTTCTTGAAACACATTCAAAATTTTCATAATTTATGTGAGTAAGTATACCTAAACATAATATATATATATATATATATAACATGACAATGAAAACCTATTAAATTATTAATAATAAAAATAAGTTGATCACACTCAATTTTCAACTACTTCAACGTCTCCAACTATTAAGCTCGATTAAACTTTAACTAAAAACTATTTATGAAAGATAATTATTCATTCTAGTAGGTAATTAATTTAGTAGATACAAATAAATTTATATAGTATGTTATTATTAAAAAAAAATGTGAAAATTAAATAAATAATTTCCAGAAAAGCAAAAGTTAACACAACACATATAATAATAATTAATAGGTACTAAAAACTCATAAGCTTGCAAATTTAAAAAATAAAATCTTTTATCATCTATGTATGTGAATATATAGTCATTAGTATAAATAAATTAACTATTATGGCTATGATAATTGCACTAAAAAATGAGTATAGATAGCTAGCGCCCGCAGCCTGTTATTTTATTAGCATAAAAAAAAAAAATTAAATAACAAGTGTGCTTACTTAATTCTTTAAATTTTTGTTTTCATATTATAAAATATTTTTTTTTTAGCTATAGAGTATTTCAAATTATAGGCTTTCAAGGATTATGTTTCGAACAGTTTAAAATTTTTCAATAGATAATATTTATGGATATTTTATTCCTAAATATTTTATTAATTATTAACCTAACCAGATCTAATTAATGAAATAAAAATGATAAGGTTTGATTGTATACATTTTACTAACATGAGCAGCTTAGATTTTTAACAAAGGAAGCGGATGGACAAATGGATCAGCTGTTATAATGTCTTTTAATAAGTATATATGTAATTATAATATATGGTGTCATATTATGTTTATATTAAAAATAAATTTAAACATTTATTGGTTTGAGTAAACCAATAAACAAGTCAAACTAGGCTATGGAATATGATGCATATTTAATGTTTACTAAGATGTAAAATAGAAGTTGAAACCTGCAGCATTGAACAGTCACAAACATACATCAGTAAAAAATAAAAATATTTAAAGATTTTTTAACTGAAATATTTTGTCAACAGAAAGACATTTTAAGAATTTAAAGTATATTTCAAAGTACTTCACAATCTTAATTTAAGTTTACCTGAGTTGGGTCTCTAAATACTTGAACTTTTAGATTAAACACAATTACGGACCACAGTCATAATACATGACTTTTGAATTGATTACAGGTTTCACTTAACGCAATGTTGATGATGAAAAATTCAACAAAGGCTATTTATTATTAATGTTCAAATAATGATAATATAAGGGACTATTTTAGCTGTCTTTTTAGTTAGATCATCAAACATGACAAAAAAAAATTAAGTTATGTTTATAATACATACATTGATATATACAAAGATAAATAAATCACATGATCTCCCTACTATTCACTTGTGATAAGCATTGACAAAGACCTAGAGGCCGTTTCAATGAACAAATACAGAAAGAAAAAAAATGTTTATGTGAATAATGAATATTATGAAAAAAGAATAATCCAAAAATAAATTAAAAATGTTACTCGTTACTATTAAATATAAGTATTAATATACCTAAAAGGAATTGGTACAATTTTACAATTTAATAAAGTTGATTATGTGAGTAAATTTAATTTTAAAACTTAACCTAATATTTAAATTATTACTAATTGGTTAACTTTGGTAAGAATGATAAAAAAAAAAAATAAAATAAAAATATTCAATACATACTATATCTAATATTAAGTTTAATAGGTTTATTAATTCAAATAACATTACATTTTAAAATCAAGCTATTTAATTATTATTTTAATAGCTGTATTATATTTTTCTTTATACGTTTAACCCATAGTTTAATAACTTTTTAAGTCAATTTGATGAAAAAATGAATGAGTTTGAAGAAGAAATTTTGGTTTTTTATTAATCATTGGTTATGAGTTATGAGTTATTTTATTTTATATCAAATAATAATTAATCATATTAAATTGAAATTGTTTCCATACTCAAACATTATAAAAAAAAGGGAATAAACTCATTTGTTCTAGTAACTTAATCAGGTAGGTTTAGAATAATTTTTGTTATGTTATTAACTGAAAACAATATTGTAATCAATTAAATTAAAAATTATGGAAAATAAAAACAATATAAAACTTTACATCAAAACTAATTAGTAATTAAAAATATTTGCAAGCTACAATGAAAAATATACATATATTTAAACAGTAAAAAAAAAAAAAAAAAAAATACAATCATTTTGATTATTTATATACTTGTTTAGTGTAATTTTACAGATAAGAAATATACTAAATGAAATTTTTTTCAAAGTACAATAATAACATAGTCTTAAGCAAGATAGAACACAATACTGCAACATTTAGGTAAAACAAATAATTAATATAACTAATTAATGATGAAAAAAAAACATGAAACCAATAAAAACAATCTCCAAGTTAAATAGTATTTTGATTATTAGTAATTAAAAATTAAGAATAGCTAAGGTTGTAAGTTATAACATTTAAAAATATTTTGATTATAATATATTATTTAGTGACACAATGAATAAAAGACAAAAATTAATATTAACAATATAATACTTATATTTATTTTGACTCAATTACAAAAAATAGGCAATGATTAAATTAAATTTCATGAAAAGAAACATAAAATATATATTGAATAATGTATTATATTTATGAGTTTAATAATTTTAGCTATTCATTAATTTTACAACTATAATTTACGAATAACTACCATTAATTTCATTAAACAAAATAGTACTAAAAACAATTTATAACTCATACACTAACTCTGGTTAAATGCCATAAGCTAATATCAATTTTTATATTTTAAAATATTTAATCAGTCATTTTAAAATGCTCATTTTCAATTCTTTAAGGAACAATAAAAATAGTAAGGTATCAAATTATATGTTTATAATTTAAATGGTTAGGAAATCAGTGTACAAAATAAATAGTGAACAACATAAAATTTAATTAAAGACAAAGAAGAAAATACTTATATGGCTTTTATATAATTATAATGTCAGTTTTAATAGTATAATATAATTTATACAAATATCAACTAGAAATGTATGATTAAATTGTTTGTAAATTATTACAATAAATTAAAAATGATTTTAATTTAATAATTAAGACATCCATGTTTTTATCAATTTTTGTATTATTTTTATTGTTTACAGTATTTTTTTAATTAGTTAAAATTAAAAAAATATAATGTATACAAATATAAATAAATAATATTCAAAAGAAATTCTGTTATATATTAAATCATAATCAATTCTTATAAGTAGGGTTCAAAAATTATAGGAGCTAAAAAAGACAGAATATGCACGAAAAATTTATAAAATATATATGAAAAAATTAAAAATATGCAAAAATAATTTCATAAATATGTTTTAAATTATTCAATAACATATAAAAGAGACGGTATTAATTATTGTTTATTGACTATTGTTAATACATATTAATTACTATTTTATTAATATATATAAAAAAAAATTATATTATTGAAAAATAAATTAAAATTATTTAAAATAAAATTTAAGAAAGAATAAAAATCAATTTTTTTTAGAAACTATTAAAAACGCATGATAAGCTTATGAAAATAAAGACATTTGCACTTTTTTCTTTAAAATCAATGAAATATGCAAAATATGTATTTTTAATTTTCAATTTTTAAACTCAACATAGTATAGCTCGAATTTCTAGCTTAGTTTTCTATAAATTGAGAGCATACTGAACAATATGTAACTCCTGTAACTTCTAAACTCTAATTATAAGTTACTTTTGAAAAACTTGATAAAAAAAAAAAAATTTAAATAATAAGATAACCAATAACATAATAAAAATAATATTTGACTGAAATATGAATGTCTTTTAAAAAAAAATTGTTTAGTATATAAATTATTATATTGTGGCATGAATAATATATTAAATATTTTTACCGTACAAACAACAGGCAAGATGAGTTTCTATACAACCTAATACATAGTCGTATTTATTTGATTAGACGTAACTAAATAGTTGAATTATTATATTGATTAATTATTACAAAGTAATCAATTTACATATGAATTTGTTAAACACACTTTCACAAATCAAATGACACCAACTGCATAAAATAAATGTCTAAAATTCTCAAAGATGGTATTTTTAAAGCTCATCTTTAAATATGTAATATGTCTCACTTTCTGGAGAAATAAACGTATAATAATTATCCAGTATTTCATCAAAGCTTAGTACACCATCGTGGTTCTTATCTGCTTTCATAATTAAAACATCTGCTTCAGTTTCTGCAATCATGCTGTAAAATTAAAAATATATTATGTATTGTATATTTGATTTGTTAATCATCTGTTTCATACTATAATTTTAAAATTATATATACAAGGTGTTCGAATTCAAAATTAAATATTTAAAAATTATATTTTAGTTCAACGTTATATATATATTATATAATTTAATATCAATAATAATATTTATATTTTGAAAACCAAAAATATTTACTTTTAACAGTTGCATGTTAAAATATATACTTGAATGGTAGTTATTAGATAATTGAGATACATAACCATAATATTATTTAAATTTTTACTTATTGTTTGGTGATGCCCAATTATGCACTTCGTCTTTATCTAATACTCCATCTTTGTTAATATCGAGCTCTTCAATGAATTTAGTTTTTTCTTCCTGAAGCCATTCTTCAGTATGGTCTGTTCCTAAAATGTATTAAAATTAGAGTGTAAAGAATTTTTCATTTTTATTCAATTAAAAATAAATAAACAGTATTAAGTTAAATTATCTAACTTCTATCCCCTATAAACTCATCAAATGTGATTTTTTCGTCCTTATCAGTGTCAAATCGATTCATTACACCAAGCAAAATTATAGATTGCATGTGTGGGTAATCTTCAGGAGTATAAAAATAGCGAAATTCTTCTTTATTTAAGTGACCATCTTTATTGACATCAGCAGCAAAAAATATTTGTTTTTCATCTTCTGCATTCTAAATAAAAACCATATGATTAGTTAAGTTTTTAAGTAATAATAGTAGTATTATTTAAAATTTATGTTTTTTTTTTTAATCATGTTTAATAATTTAAAGCATAGGCATATTATATTAAGTTGTCATAATATTCTTACTAAAAATTAAAAATGTGAAATATTTTGATAGTATGTTTTGTTTAATAATTATAAATTTGATTCTTTACTTAATCAACAATGAGCAAAAGTTCAAATTAATCGATCTATTTAAAGTTAAAGTATTAAATTATATAATAGAAAATTTTCATATTTATATTTTTATTACTTTGCTAAAGTAATAATGGAACTTTGAGTAAATAAATTATAAATTTGGTTCAGAATAAAATTAGAAAAATGATTGTTTTTTGTAGTCAATGGTTAAAATTAATGTATTTTACAACAAAAATGATAGTTGTTTTGTTATATAGTTTGTAAAATAATTACTTCATCATCAAAATGTTCACTTGAACCATAAGTATCACCAACATATTCTTTCCATGTTACATAACCATCTTCATCAAGATCACTAGTTAAAAATTCTGCATCAGATTCTTCAGCTGATAATTTTCTAAAAAACAATATATTTTGTAAACATTTACTTTTAGTCATTTCTAAAGAATGGATTTATATGTAAATACATATTCTTATAAAAACAAGATATGTATTTAAGATTTGATAAAAATGTTCACGATTTAAATCATTTTTATAAAAATGATGCTACTTTTATTTTACATATTTTTAAACATACAAGTATTTTATCATTTCATCATTCATACGTTTTTAATCCATATTGCAGTGAACAAAAACAGGCATTTATTGGTAAATTTTTGAAAAAAAAATTCATGCTGTTTTAAAAAAAAATCACTGGTTATATTGATTTTAAAACAATCAATGACATGGAGTGGCAGATACTCTTCTAAAAATTTGAAATTGTTGCCTTCAGATATTATGCGTTTCCAATATGCTCCAATTACATCATTAATGTGAAATGATTATTTAGCCGTTTTAAAAATATTTTAAGACGTAATAGGTGACATTTAATAATCGATAATTTAAAAGAAATTGTAACTATTCAATACAAAAAATCATTTTAATAATTAAATAATTAAATAATATAATGTATTTTTTTTTTTTTTTTAATTACATTTTTTTTCACATATTTTATAAATTATACTTTTATACTTATGTACATATTTTTGTATTTTTATTACATATAAATCCATTTCCTAGTTATTACTTATGGTTTTAAATAATATGCTATTTACGTGTAACACAAAGTATACAGTAACTGGAATAGGTATTGTTGTCAATTGTTTATGTTTTACTTTAAATAAATACTTTAGTAAATGTGTAAACAGGTAATCATGAAATATAATATATTATACACAAGTTAATAAACTAGAATTAACCTATTTTATATTTATTACATTTCATCATATTAATTTTGTATTTACATGCTTTATAAATAAATAATAATAAATTTATCTATGTTATAATTGAGAATATTATATACAGTTATGTTAAACCTATATAATTATAAGTACTTATTTGTTGTTTTAATAGATTGTTTCATATATCTATCATAAGTTATACATATACTATAACAGTAAATTATTTTTTCCGTTATTGTAATATAAGCATTGAGATAAAATCAAATTAAAAAAATTAAAATATTATTTGTGACATAGTGTTAAATATTTTCAATACCTATTATAAAATTAAAATATAAAAAGCCTAAACATACACAAGTAAAAAAAAAATATTTAGCAAAAACATGCAGATAAACTGTGTTTTTTCAATCTTTTCATTATTTTAATTATATATAATTAGAAAATTATCTAGTTCAGGTAAAATAACAAATGTGTTCATAAACTATAAAATGTAATTAAGAACAGCATTTAACATATAGTTTTCAAAACTTAACAATTGAAATTTTATACCTGTAAATATTAAAAAATAAAAGAACATAATATGCTTAATATATATATATATAGAGCATGAACAATTTTAAAATACGATTGTTTGACAAAACTTTTGTGTTAAATAATAATAAGTAAAATATTTCTGATAATTGGTATAACTCATAAGTCATAATGTTCTAAATAATATAATAGGTAACATCAATTAAAACATATTAAAATGTCAAAATCTCCAAATAAAATAATATTTGAACTAGTTTTTGAATAGTAATTGATTGGTTTCATATCAGTATTAATTAATTTTTTGAAATAAATTTTGTATTAAATTGCTTGAAAGAAAACTACAAAATTAATAATAGTTAAAGTAGGCTAAATAAAAGTATCATCCACACAATAAAAAATGTATAATTTAATCTTGTATTCATATTATATTTTAATAAAAAGTAAAGCTTGGTTTTAGTTTATAACTAAATTATAATCTATAAATATTAATGTGTTTATGATTTTTGTTAAAAAAAGAAAAATCTTAGTACAAATAATTAGGTACATTCATGATTACCGATAAGAATCCAATAATTTTGCTAACAGTTCTTTTTTTTCGATAAAGCCATTCTTATTTATATCCATACTTTCAAGTATAGCACTCATACGTGGTTTTATTTCAGATGGTTCTAAATGTTTCATTTCTTCTATATCTTCCTCATCGGCTAATGGAAAATATAAAAAAAATTAATTCAATTTTATAATACTGATGTAGGTACATAATATTATTATTATTTGTTTAATTTAAAATAACCCTTGGAGACAGTGATCATTGGGACTACATATTAAAGTTATTTGAAAAAATTTTAAGCAGTTAAGAAATATATAAAAAAAATATTGAATTTGATGAACGATTTAACAGTCACAATGAATTTGATAGTACTGGAGATAAAATCAGGATTCAAAGTCCTATTTGAGCGATTCAGCTAATGATTACGGATTGTTTAGAATTTTAAAAAATATATTATGTTTATGCAGAACATAGTTTTATTTATATAAACATAAATCTTAATCAAATTTATATTACTTATTAAACATATTTAATCATAATCAGAATTGTAAAGTCAATAAATAATAAAACTAATGCCTTCATTCATGTATTTTAAACAGGCGCCTATTGAGATTTTCATTTTTAGTTCTTAGATATATTATATATTACATGTTAATATGTTTAAAAAATATGTAAATGGTTAATTGAAGTGAACAAGTAACGTGTGGCTTACTTAAGATGCCGGCATAAGCGGAATCAGTCCGGTGGTCATGTTCGGAGATTGCCTTGCGCCTTGAAATGATGAGGTTTTCTTCAATTTCTTGTCCATCAGTCAAATGATTTACGCCAGACATAACAGCTGCCAGCAGAGTCTCGGCGGCCACCATCAACAAAAAAGTGACGGGAAAGTAATTCATCGTTGTGCCGGCGAAAAAAAAGGGACTCTCGACGAATGCCGTTCGACGTTCAATAGTGGGAAACGACAAAAGCAGACGCGCTGCGCCAACCAACTAATTGTAACTACAATAGTAACTAGTAAGTATTAAGTAGTAAGTACAAAGTGTACCTATCGGCTATAAGGTAAACTGCCTAGACAGTAGACCGTCGTCCGTCACTGGTGATGGTTCGGTGGCGGTAATCAGACGGTAGATAATAGTTCGCGGTGATAACACTTTGGGAGTGATAATGCTGCGAATGATAACGTCGATCGCTGCATTAAAAATGGTTTGATTTTAAAATTTGAGGAGTGGTTTCTGGTAGCAAATTTGGATATAATCGGTACTATGAGGGAACAAAAGTAAACAATTTCTAGTAATTTTCATAATATTCTGGATAAACAAAAAATTAATTATTGAAAAACTGCAACTTTTACGTTAACCAGTTGTCGTCAAAATCGATTTCTTTATTTATTTTTCATATAAATTCAAAAATGAATAACTGTAGAAATTTGAAATTTTCATCTAATGTTTATATTTTCAATTTCGGTATATTTCTACTTTACCGGGCACCCTAAATTTTGGAATTTTTTTTTTTAATTTTTTGTATGTTTGATATTTTGGTTAAATAGTTATATTTATCAAATTGTCCAGCTTTTACTGTAGAGCATTGAGGCAACACGTTACCACACTAACTAAAATATAGAAGTTTCGAAACGCCTTTATGAGCACAAAATATTTTTTGTATTTTTTTTCCTTTTTTCGTAATTAGCATGATATTAACTTATAGAACAGATAGAGCGACAGTCAAACAGCTGACGTTACGATTACTTCATGTCGAGTCACCATATTTCATAGCAAATCGAAGGATATTTTCGTTTTAAATGTCCGAGCGAGCGCAGCGAGTGAGTGGCCTTGCTTGGTCTCGAAGTACAACCGAAATGCATTTTTTTAATCGTGGAGCTACTCGAGGTAGTGCTTCATAGCAAATCGGCGATAAAAGGTAAAATCGGTGAATATAATATTATTAATTAAAGGCAAAAAGTGTAAAAAAGTAAGTTGCGGATGCGAGAATTGAACTTGATACTGGGACAACGCAGTTATATCCACTACACCACAATTCGTTTACTCGAAAAAGTGTTAAAATATTGATTTAAATAAATTACGAAAAAATAGTAAAATACTCAAATTCTAGAATTGTATAACTCAAGAATTAATAATTTGTGCCAATTTTTTTCTTGGAAAAAACTTTTTAAAAACATTAGAAAATGAGGATTTTCAAAAAAAAAAATCGCAAAAAAAGGGGTGTCCGGTAAAGTAGAAATGTTCCAAAAAAGGCTTAGTGTGAATTCATAACAAATTTTCATAAGCGTTTGAAGTTAAAATTTTATTAAATTTCATAGAGATCAAGAAAATTAACAAATTATTTTGTAGTTAAAAGTTCATAAAATATATAATAACTAAAAGTATACACATCACAAAAATATTTTAAGGATATCTACGATAATCTCTTGTCAAATAATTATTATGGACACTAATGTTTAATTCCCATACTATAACTACTACATTATACAATCTCTCAATTATATTGAAATTATTATTTTTTAATTGATAATTTTCAAAAATTGTTTTTATTTGTGCGAATTTATAGAACACACAATAGTCAGTTGCGGCTCGTGAGTAAATTGCTGAGGAGATTTAAATTCTATAGGTAATATAAGCTTCATAGGAAAATTAACAAGAAAAACCCTTTTATTGTAAAATTAATTTATTATACTTAATAAATAATGCCTATTTAATTAACTAAATAATTGTAAACACATACATGTATATTGTATACTGTTTTGTGTTTAATGATATAAATATATAATGAATATAATGATTTATATTTTTCATAAACTAATTAAATTTTGAAATCATTTATAATAATTAATAATAAATGAGGAGTTGAACGATTAAGTTTCAATTGATCTTTTGTTCGTACGTTAAAGTATTAAAACCATTGGTTAATAAAAAGTCTATTACTTGGTCTTTTTGCATTTTGAAAACAACTACAATTATTAAAATGTTAAAAATAATAAATATTAGATATTCAGATAGTAGTTTAAACGTTTAATAATTTTTGTTACTGAATATGATGAATGTAAATTTTAATTAATTATGACCGCGTACATCGACAGACGACGGCGCTGCAAATATTGCTGTGACCAGGCTCTATTATTTGTAAAATTTCAGACTGCACACTTAATTTTACTACTTTAAACGGAAATTTGAGTCTCACTACTGTCTTGGAAAAATAAATGTATTACATGTATGTATAATAATAATTTAATACAACAACAAAATACTTTTGACTGATAATAATGTTTGAAAATTAATAGAAAGAAATTACAATACGGTAGGTATAATTTAAAATTAAAACATTCGGGAAATACTTATATTTTCTAGTAGCTGGTATTTATTTAATTTTTGTTTTATAGACAGTAGTGCACACTTGAACACTCGTAGTACACGTGTACACGTAAAAATAGGGCCTGCAGTGAACCCAGTTTATGTGGCTAAGTCTCTACTACTCCTCGGACCAACTAAACTTACTAGGTATTGGGTACAACAGTACATGTTATTACAATTGAAACTGTCGGCAGTAGTTTCATAATCATTGAAGTCTAAAACGGGATCATCGTTGAAATTACTTAAATATTTCCATTAAAATAAATACTTATTTATAGGTTTTAGATTTTGTCGACTTCAAATTTCAATAATAATATATATATATAAAAAAAAAAAAAAGATACAATAAATAATATACTTTCAATTCAAATAAAAATATTTCTATACATTTACATTTTTTATTAATTATTATTTATAAAAAAGCTGTTTATTTATATTCTTAATCTTTCTAATATACCATACCCAAATATGTATTTTTCTTACAGTAACAATAAACGAATAATGAAAAAATACAATTTTAAGTAGGTACTTATAATATTTCTAAGGATAAATTTTATGCATTATATTTATAGATCACATACGTGGAACGGTGACCTTTCTGTAAAAAAAAACTAAAAAAAAATTCTCAGTTCTTAATGTGCTACAACTAATACTTAATACTAGATAGTAGATACACACCTACTTACTGTTTTTAAAGCTACGAAAATGGTATATCAAAAACTGATAACCAAGACTAACAGTTTAAAATTACACTAATATATTTAATAAATATTTTATAATATACCTACTTAAATTGTGTACATACAAATATGATATATATATTCTAAGAGATATGAACATAGTATAAGAGAAACGAATATTTTTTGTAATTTTATGTTACCTATGGATTATATATGTAAATGTGTTGGATTGATAAATCATTCCATATTAAAATCATACAGATGTGTGAAAGTAATATTAAATTAATTTTATTTTTAATAATTTTATATGTTACAAAATTTCTTAAAAATTGCATTCTTGTAGAATATATTAAACAAATATATTTTGTTTTCTAGAACTAATGACTATGGGGGCAAAAGGTAATTGCTATGCTGAGTACTGTTGTACAATATGCCAGGCATATTATGTTTCTGTGTCTACAGTGGGACCTGAGAGGTTTTGTGTGTATGCTAACTTTACCGCTACTGATGTCACTGATATAAGCCACAGATGACACTTGGAAAGTGTTAAACATCAACATCATACAAGATGTACCCACGCATCTGACGCATCGTATTGGAATTTGAATACTTAATTATAAGTTAATTCTTAGCAGTATTTTATTTTAATACATGTCTGTATATGCGTTTATACATAAGTCTAATTTAAATATATCGGGTTCAATACTATAAACATGTTCAATTACGATTATCATTCTATAGTTGTTTAACAACAGTAATTTATTTCATTTTTAATGAGTATCGGTCCAGTACAGTCGTGTAGTCTAAAACAGTCAGTTTTGAATTCACAACTTTGAAACCCTAACCATTATATTCAAAATAAATTTTAAACTTAAAATTATGTCATGCAGTATGCTTTATAGTCTATCTAATACTTATATTAATTTAAAATTTAAAGTAAAAAAATATTTTTTAAATCATAATTATATCAGATATACTAAAATCAAAATTTTTATTATTAATTTAACAGCAATTTCTCAATTCACAAATTTGAACTTTTACGATTAGATTTAGAATAAAATGTTAACTTTAAATCAAGTCATATGCTGTATAGACGGTGTCAAATTATATATTCATCGGGCCGTTACAAAATTACTCAACGTTTAGGTACCTATACAGTATTAAAAATATTTTTATAAACGGATATTATTTATAACTTTATAAGTACTTAAGTAAATTGTAAACTATAAAGTTTAAAGTAATATATTATTAGATTCAATTTTATACAAGTTTGATTTCCTGTTTATTACGTAATATTCTGGTCCATGTATTATATATTATATCGTTGACCGTTGTGCTATCAGTGATCGACAATCGACTGCCTCCGGAGAATACCGGGAAACATATTCCTACAATATTATAGTTATTATAATATTGACTATTGAGCCTTAATAGCTATGGTAGTATGGTGTTATGTTAGTATAAAACTATAATAAATGTAGTACGATAAAAATTGCATTGTTATTCCCGCGAACCCCGCGATTCTGATTTCTGTCATCTACTCGTAGTTCGTACCTAAATTCGTGTGTGAAATAATTTGTTTATTTAGTGTAGAAATAAGTACAGCTATAATTTAATAGTTAAATAAATGTATACTAAATACTTAATACATAATGGTCATAATGGGAAAAACCAAAGGGCGGAGCTGAAGAGCCTCGTTTAAAAAAACTGGTAAATACTAAATTTGCAGACTATTGCCAATGACTTAAAACGAAAAAAAATATCATTTGTATTGATCGTTACGTGCACATTTAACAAAATATTCGTTGGTAAGTATGAAGAATTTAGTATACTATCATAGGCGGAAATCGGGGGGGGGGGCTAGAGGGGACTAAGCCCCCCCAGAAGTTTAAAGTACAGGTCTTAGCCCCCCCTGGCCACCACAATTTTAATGTGACTAAATATACAATAATTATTCTAATTGAAAAATTTATTTTTAATATATGAATCACAAAATAAATTGTACAAAAAATATTCTATGACAAAAATTAAATTTTACAAACTTGTCATAACATGGAACGATCATAATAATTATACTTCGTAATATACTATTATTAATAATACGTAATAATACTCGTATTGGTTGTTTATCAGCAGTTGTCCCGGTACTATGAAATTCCGTAATAATATTCTATTTTTAACTAATTATAAAGTTAATTGATAGTTGCCATAATTGACGAATTCTAGTATTTTTGTTTTTCGCCGCTTATTACATTCAGTATTTGTTATTTGAGTGGTTAACGGCTAACGAGTTTAATTATTTAATTTTTATTGACCATTATGTCTAAGAAATTATTTGCGATCTTTAATGTGAATAAACCGTCTATTGTGGCCCCGGTTTGTACTAATGTCACAGACGATACTGACCCAGACGACTCTTTAAGTAGTCAAGGAAGTATAACTACAGTTGAATCTACAAAAGTAAAATGTGTCGATTTGGTATCTGAAACTTGTGATCTAGGAACTTTACTGACTGGTCCATCTCGTCCGGTACTTGAGGCAAGTATAAAACCAAATTATTTTAAATGGTTTGTAGTTTATTGTACATTTATAACTATAATTTATGTACTTTGTACCTACTATAGTCGTATCCAAAAACTGTTTTTGGGAAACAAAACCGTGGTTTTAATTCCGTTTATTATTCAAGCTTTAATTGGCTAGAATATAGTATTAAACGTGATGCTATTTACTGTTTTTGCTGTCGCAATTTTAGCATAGCAAGTGATAATAATGATTTTACGTTTACGAGTATTGGATTCAACAACTGGAAAAAAGCAAGTACCTATTTGTTTAATTATATTTTAACTATTTTTATTATATTTAAAAATGTTTATTGTATTTATATAGTTATCCGGGTCAAGAGGAAAAAAAGGAAATAAACAGAGTAAATTGCATGGACATTCGACTAGTAAACAGCATTTAACTTGCATGGCCAAATGGGAAGCTTATATTTCTACTACAATAACAGGAAGTGTCCACTCTCAAGTAGCATCAAGCCACAAGCTTTTCGTAGAAAAAAATGTCCAATATGTTAAAACTCTTGTTGATATAACATTATTTTTGAGCTGCCAAGGATTAGCGTTTAGAGGACATGAAGAATCAAGGCTCTCACTAAATCAAGGTAACTAACTAAAATAATTAAACATATATTACAATTTAAATTTTTTCACTGCTAAAAGATTATCTAATAGATATATAAAACATTATGTTTTATAATATATAACATTTAAAATACCAGATACATTTTTCACTACCTATAGACATAATATATTCTTGTTACAGGAAATTTTAAAGAAATTTGCAATTTAATTGCAAAACACTATCCAGAATTTGCAGAAAAGTTTCAAAATACTACCAATTACACTAGTCATGCTGTGCAAGATGAGTTGGCTAATTTATGTGCTGAGAACATAAGACATAAAATTACAAAAGAAATTGAAGACACTAAAGTTTTTGGTATAATGTGTGATGAAGCTAGGTAAGAATCTAACTTTTAAATGACAAGTATACAAAATTAAATTTAGCAAAGGTTTAAAAATTATTTTGATTATAACCCAAGACCCAATGAGAGAAGTACTTTCACCACCTACCAACTGGATTTTTTAATTTTTATTTTAGGTGTTTTAAGCAAGAAAAAATGTCTTTATGTGTAAGGTATACTGTTGGCCTTAATATTGTAGAACGATTTCTGGGATTTATTGACGTTTCTGACAAACAAGATGCTGAATCCTTAAGTGTCCATATATTTGCTTACCTTACTAAAAATAACATGGACACGTTTCATATTGTGGCACAATCCTACGATGGGGCAAATGTTATGTCTGGAAAGTTCAATGGTGTTCAGGTTAAAATTAAAAATAAATTTCCATATGCTATTTATACGCATTGTATGGCCCATCGTATAAATCTTGTAGTAATCGACATGTGCAAATATGTTAAGGTAAATTGTAATTTGTTGAAAGTGTATGTTTTAGCTGTTTTAAATATATATTTTTTTTTTTGTATAGGAAACTAGGACTGTTTTCAATACCATTGAAGGGTTATATATCCATTTTTCTCATCCAACTAAAAACCAAATGCTTGTTGACATGCAAAAAAAGTTGGGAATAAAAAGTATCCACATTGGTTGCTTAAGTGATACTAGATGGAACTGTCGGTTTAAAAACTGTGAAGCAATATTACATAATTATAAAGCTATTATAAATGTTTTACAGGAAGAAATAGACAATCAAACTGATAGAAATGCAAATGAAGCTTTAGGTAAATTGTGTGAAACATTTAAAATAATTGGATTTTAATATTTAAATGTTTTTTTTTCAAGGTATACTTACAAATATGTCAACAAGCTCATTTATTGTTAATTTGTTTATTTTAAAAGATATATTGTCTACAATAAATATTCTTTGTCAAATGCTACAAGAAAAAAATGCAACACTAGGCAAAGCAGCAATTCTTATCAAGGGTGTTTTGCAAACTTTTGAAAATGGTAGATCTACTCTTGCTTTTAATAATTTATGGTTAGAAATCCAAGACTTTGCTAAAGACTACAACATTAATTTCAATGTACCATTTCAAACACAAAGTAAATATTATTTAATATTTTTATAGTTAGGTGTAGTCTGTAGAAAGTAAAAATTATAAGTATTTTTGTATTTTAGGATTGAAACGAATAAGAAGAGAACCTAATAGACTTAATGATTTCGTTTTGACTACTGCTACTGGTGCCGAAGAACCCAATGAAGTTGATAATGCTACTGCTGAAGATTATTTTCGTGTAAATACATACTTTAAAGTTTTAGATTCCATTATTGTCAATATGAAGAAACGGTTTTGTACAGAAAGTTTGGAAATGGCTGAATCTATTGATAACTTTTTTAAACTGAACATTGAAAAAAGCAAATTCTTTATTGACCACTATAAGGTATACCTATACTATAATTAATGTAATTGTTAATTGATACATTATTTAAACTTTGTATAATTGACTAACATAGTAACATCTCCTAAAATACCCTGATTTTCATACATGAATTGGCTGATATGACACTTACTAATTTCACACTATACAACATTTTAATATTAATAATAAATAGTAACACATTATGACTTATGTATATCTTTTTATTTTCTAGGATTTATTAGATGTCAATTGTTATAATTTAAAATCCGAAATTACTGTTGTAAAAAACTATTTGACATTAAAAACTGGAAAAGATGATATCTCCTTAGAGGATTTAAAAACATTTATTATCAAGAATGTCTACCCAAATATATATAAACTTCTACAGGTGGCTTTAACTTTACCAATAAGTTCAGCCACCTGTGAACGTTCTTTTTCTGCAATGCGCCGAATAAAAACTTGGATGCGATCAACAATGGTTGAAAATAGATTCAATGATCTTTCTATTTTAAACATTGAAAAAGATTTAGCAAAAAAGATTAATAATAATGATATAGTTAATGCTTTTTCGAATAAAAATCGATATATTGTATTGAAATAAATATATTAGATACACTTATTATGTTATATACTTGACTTCTTTGTTTTCACATCCAATATTAAATTGGTTATAATTCAATTAATTTAATAACTTAATGATAAAATTTCTGTTCAGAATAAAATGTTCAAGGTAAGGCACATTATTGTTTTTGTACTGTATTATGGTTAAATTGTTTAGTATGTCAAACTTTTAAATTGTTTTGTTGAAATAAATAATTGCGAGTGACTTAAGTACATTAGTGCCTATATAGGTGCAATGAGAAATATAATACTCAGCCCCCCCAGTAATTTCACTAAATTTCCGCCTATGTATACTATACTTTTTTTAATCTACCGATTCATTAATTATATTGATTATATATTTTCGAGTATATTTTAGTATTAAATTGCAAATTAAAATAAAATCTTATAATCTATGAATAACATTATTTATTTTAAATATAATATTTATGTAATAATTATTGCATGTTAACATTATTTGTTAACAAATAGTTAATTTTTGAATTTGTTTACTTGGTTATTATTATAATTCAGATGTATTTTATTTATGATTGTATGAACTATAAAGTTAAAATATCATTTGTTAGTTTCTTTTATTATAAACTATTATCGGGTTCAGCAGTAGAAAGAAAAATTTTAATTTTAAATTTATATATTACATTTTAAGAAGAATCAAACTTAAATTACAGTATATCCAAAATTATAAATACATTTTATTTAATCGATAAATGATAATTTAAAAACTAAAAAAAAAAAAAGATGTAAAATGTTATTATTGTACACTAGGTGTAATTATGCACAACATTAGGGACAGAGTTTTTTTTACAGAATAGTGAGTTCCAGTCCACCCCTGTCATGTTGTATACAGTTAGTTAATTTAAGATTTAGTTCAAATTAAAAAAAAAGCATTATTCACATAAAAATTATACAGATATATTAAAATAAAATTTTTAAATATAAAAATATTATTCAATTTTAAATTTACCTACAACTTTGAAACTATTACCATTAGATTCAGAATAAAAAGTTAATATTAAATCATGTTTTATTGTTACCAATAAGTTAATTTAAGTTTTAGTCAACAGAAAAAAACTATGCTTTACATCATCAATATAAAATATTACAAATAACAAATATCAAGTTTTTAAATGTTAATAAAACAGTTAATTTTGAATTTTAAATTTTAAAACTAATATCGTAAGATTCAGAATAAAATGTTAACATATAATCATGTTCAGTTATATCCAATATGAAAAGTTAAAGTAAAGATTAAACTAAAAATTATTATCTTAAATAATTACCCAGGCGGATATTCAAATAAATAAATATATTACATTTCATAAACTAAAAAATCATGGTTTAATACCATATAGTTACGTATTGCTGTATAAGGCTTTAAGACATGTGTGCCGTGGTGTTTGACTTTGTTTATCTAATAAATTATACTTTCCTTAAACAAAATAATTGTAGTCACTTGAAGGGCGCACACTAATGCGTATAAGTCAGATAAACGCTTACTTTTACTTAAGTTAATATTAATTAATACAGTTAATACAAATGTTCCTAAAGTAGTAATTTCAAGTATAAATGTTTATCTTACATAAGTAACAATTTAACGTATTTTTCAATAAAATATACCTACAATG